CCCGGGCAACGCAAGGTCGCAGGTCCTTATATAAAATGGCAACTGTCCCCAAACGTCTACAGGCTGGAGCCTTCCCTCCGCATCAGCATCTCTCAGGCTCCCTCCGACCACTCGTCGCCATGACAACCACAGCCCCTGATCAAGAACCAGGGCTGCTCGCGAAGGGGCGGGGGGCCGGCGCCGCTCTCCTCGGGGGGCCCATCTGCTGCTCTCACTTCCGTCTCCGGGGGGGGGCCCGGCAGCAGGGACGCAGCACCTGAGATTAACGTGGTTAGAGGCCCACGTGGACCTGGGCTCCTGGCGTCTTAGACGAAGATGCTATTAAACCCTTTCATGCTTCCCCCAAGATACAGCAGCCAGACACCCCTAAAACTAAGATGCTGCCCGGCCAGTGCAGCTCCGCGGTTGAGCATCAACCTAGGATCCAGGCGATCGGGGTTCGATTCCCGGTCAGGGCGCAGGCCAGGGTTGCGGGCTCGATCAATGGCTCTCTCATCATTGATGTTTCTCTCTCTCTCCCCCTCTCCTTTCCTCTCTCTGAAATCAATAAAGATACATTTAAAAAAAAAAAAAAGATGCTGGCCCGGCTGGTGCGGCTCAGTGGTTGCGTGTCGTCCCGTGCATCAAGAGGTCGCCGGTTCAATTCCAGGTCGGGGCACATGCCCAGGGTGCTGGCTCGATCCCCAGCCGGGGGTGTGCAGGACGCAGCCGATCGATGTTTCTCTCTCATTGATGTTTCCATGTCTCTCTCTCTCCCTTCCTCTCTCTGAAATCAATAAAAACAATTTTTAAAAAAGATTTTAAAAATAAGATGCTAGCCAGGGTTATGCTGGTCCTTACAGCCCCTGGCGAAGCAGACACACCCCTCTCTGGATCACTATAGTGCCATCGGCTGGAACCCGCATCAGCCACCCCGCAGCAGGTGGCAAGGGAAACACGGGAAGTGAAATGTGCTGATGTGGCAGAGACCCCCTCCCCCGTCCCCCACGGAGCTCTAAAAACAGAACCAGAACATGCGGCCCGGACTGGCCACACCCTGCCAGGACCAGGGCCAGCTGCTCAGGGCAGAGACGGCCTGCCTGTGATAAAAATATACGCATCTGAAAAAACTGTTCTAATAAACATCTTGGCTCCAGTTGGTGGAACTAAAGCCAGCAGTTTTTAAAGTGTCCATTCTGATTCTGTCCGCTTGGTTTCACTGGAAATACGGCGCTATAACCCACGGTGCTTTGCATAAAACAACAGCCGACACACGCTCGCCCTCTCGCGCTCGCCCATCCGCAGGAAGAGCGGCTGTCTCCTGAGTGACAAGTGTGTGGTGACACAGCAGCAGGTCAAAGCCAGGCCCGGGATGCTTTCCCCAGTGACCGCCCATCTCCCCTCGTACGTGACTCCGCATCACAGAAGTCCCAAGGCAGAGGGGTGATGGGCAAGGTGGCGGCCATCTCAGGAAATCATGTCATGTCCCGTTTTCAAAGGCACCGGTCACCCCTGCGCATCGAATATTCCCACAAAGGTGCCTCCCTTCGTCCAACCTAAGGGGGGGGGGGT